AAACTAAAAATTAAATGAAGCCGTAATTCTCCCCCATTTTCCACCCACAGATAATAGAACGGGGTGCCCACCGTTTTCAGCTTTGAAATTGACACGTAACTTGAATGGGTTTTTTTTTTTTATAATAAAATATTTATATATGTAAAGTTTTAAAAACAGATTTGAGATTGACATCTCACCTTACAAATATAATAAATTTTTTATTTAAACTCCCTAATTCTCCTTTTTGCCGGCATATTAGGTAGATTTGTTGCCTTACCAGAGGGGTGGGTGTCGGAAATTTGGGGATATTAATTAAGAGAGGAAGGGCAAAATTTGAAAATGAAATCCCCTATTTCAAAATGTAGCAATTAATTAATGACAACATTTTGAGAGTAAAAGCGAAGTTAACGCCAAGCAGACGCAACGGTGAGTGTCCACCCATACTTTGACGGTGAAGCCCAGACTGGACACAGGTGCCGAAGTTGAGTTCGCTTCGTATTGACTCGGCCACGTTTTGACGCAGTGGCTTTTAACTTGAACCTAGCCATGCCCATCCAGGCCTACAACTTCCCGAACACCTCGCATCTTTCAACAGTGTCCCTACCCTCGCACGCAACCGAGTTTGTGATTCTGCGACTCACTACCTCCTCTACTTTTGCTCTCTTCGATTGTTCTCTCACCACGATCGAGTCGATTGACTCAAGCAGCACGGCGTAGTACACCGTTGCTTCGCCCACCCATGCCACGAACGGCGCGGTGTTAGTGTTCATTTCTTGCTCTAGAATGTGTTGGAGATTTTAATTAAATAATTGCAAATCATTTGTGACCAATCGGTTATGAATCCACCATTTTTCAAAAAATTAAATTTGTGCAGTTACAAACCCATGCTTTCTTGAATTTGTGCGTTTCTTTCTTAAAAGAAAAAAAATTAAATTCAAACATCGTAACCGGCGAACAAATGGCTCACCAATATCAAAATCTATTTTATTCGTCAGTTTCAATTCTTTATAACTGATATATGGCACTTTAAATTCCAACCGTTTCTCATTTTAATTTACTCCGGTCATGTGGCAGTGTGAAGACCTATAAAAAGGCAACCTCCGTTTGTACCAAGGCTGGATGTTATTATTTTTTTTTTATCTGCACTCCTATTTCAAAAAAAAAAAACATAACATTCAAACTCTATTTGGGCAAGGAAAAGGTAGTGGGGTAGAGCTATCTTTACAAGAGTGCAGTACTTGTAAAGATATAATAAGGGAGTTGGACTGTTGTATCATGGGGGCAGCGTGATCATAAAAATCTGCTGCACCAGTGGCACGGAACGTCTTAAAGAGAGTGATTGATTTACGCCTCAACTCAATCTCCTCATACTTTCGGTGACATCTTTCTACTTTTCATTTTCATCTTTAATTAATTGTTTTTTGCAAATCTTCTGTCTAGTTTTTCTTCTATTTATTTTACGAGGAATAACAATTTTAGGACGTTACGAAAGAAAAAAAAATCTTTAAAAAATGAGTTTACCTTGTGAAAAACCTGTTAAGCTCGCTAATGATCTTAACATGCCATTTCGTTTTAATGGTGAGCATTTCAAAAGATAAAAAGGAAAAGTTTTGTATTATCTTAATTTGTTAAAAGTGGCATATGTCCTCAATGAGGAAAATCCTATTAATTTGTCAACCGAAGGTATGAGTGCTGAGGAAAAGAAATCTCACAAGAAGAAAGTCCAAAAGTGGGAGAAAGATGAATATAGTTGCCGCAACTCTTTACTTAATTGCATTTCTGATGAGCTTTATGATTACTATGAAAGAACTTACTCCACTGCCAAGGAAACTTGGGATGCTTTGCAGAAAAAATATGACACTGAAGAGGCTGGTGCGAAGATGTATGCTGGTAGCCGATGGCTACGCTTCCAAATGGTGGATGACAAGTCGGTGGTGTCACAAATTCGAGAGTTACAAATGCTTGCTCATGAGTTCCGATCTGAAGGCATACGAATTAATGACAATCTCGAAGTTGTAGCCATTATTGACAAGCTGCCGCCTTCATGGAAGGAGTTCCAAAAGACGATGCGTCACAAGCAAAAGGAGATCACCGTAGAAAATCTTTTAACTCGTATTCGAGTTGAAAAGGAGGTAAGGAATCAAGATGCTCGAACAACAAATGGAGGCAACACATCCAAGGTACACTTTGTTCCCATTAATGATAGCTTTCCCAAAAAATAATAATTTTAAATATAATGCCCAAATGAGATCTAAGAAGAAAATTGTGAAAAAGAATTATGGGAGTCATTCTACTAGGAGACCAAGTCAAAATTTTAAGAACCAAGGACCTCCTTCAAAACAAAATAGCTATACATGTTTTGTGTGTGGCAAGCTTGGGCATACTGCTAGAGTTTGCAAGTTCCGAAAGCGTGGGCCTACTCCACAGGTCAACGCAACCTAGGAGCCCTTTGTGGCGATGTTATCTGACATAAACACGCTCAATGGCAGTGAGGGATGGTGGATTGATTCTGGTGCCGCAAGGCATGTCTGTAAAGACAAATCTTGGTTCAAAACATTTTCTGAATATGATGTTGAAAAGGAAGTGAGACTTGGTGATGGTCATACAATCAAGGTTCCTGGCTAAGGAGAGGTGGAATTTAATTTTACCTCTGGAAAAACATTGACTCTCAAAGATGTGCTTTATACTCCTCAAATGAGGAAAAATTTAGTTTCTGGATTTCTCCTTGGTAAGGCTGGCTTCAAAGAGGTATATGAATCTGGGCATTATGTTTTGACTAAAAATGGTATATTTGTTGGGAAAGGCTATGCATGTGATGGCATGTACAAGTTGAATATTGATATGAATAAAGTTCCTTCAAGTTCCATTTATATGATTTCTAATACTGTTTGGCATGCTCGTTTATGTCATATTAATAATAAATATATAAAAAAATATGAGTAATCTTGGATTGATACCCAAAGTAAATAATGATTTTGAAAAATGTGAATCTTGTGGTTTGACTAAAATCACTAAAAAACTTTTTAAAAGTGTTGAAAGAAAAACTGATTTATTAGAATTAATACATAATGATATTTGTGAATTTGAGGGAGTTTTAACACGTGGTGGTCATAGGTATTTTATTACTTTTATTGATGAATTTTCAAAATATACTTATATTTATTTGATTAAGCATAAAAGTGATGCTTTTGAAAAATTTCAAATCTTTTTAAATGAGGTTGAAAACCAATTTGAAATGAAGATTAAAAGGTTTAGAAGTGATAGAGGTGGTGAGTATGATTCAAATGAGTTTAACAAATTCATACAATCTTTGGGTATTATTCATGAGACTACTCCTCCATATTCACCTTCTTCTAATGGTGTAGCTGAACGTAAAAATCGTACTTTAATTGATTTGACTAATGCTATGCTTGTTAGTTCATGTGCATCATCTAATTTGTGGGATGAAGTTGTTTTGACTGCATGTTATATTTTAAATCGTATTCCTAATAAGAAGACTAACCTGACTTCTTTTGAGTTGTGGAGAGGCTATAAGCCAAATCTTAGCTATCTCAAAGCTTGGGGATGCTTGACTTATGTAAGATTGACAAATCCAAAAAGACCAAAGTTGGGTGCAAAAGCTGCGACATGTGTATTTATTGGGTACGCAACTACAAGTAAGGCATATAGATTCCTTGATCTTGATTCTAATGTTGCTATTGAATCTGTAGATACTATATTTCATGAAGATAAATTTCCTTTTAAACTTAAGAAGGATGGAAGTCATGATTTTACAAAACAAAATGATTTTGAACCTAGTTCCTCAATTTCATCTCATTTTCAAAACCAAGAGAACATGGATTTTGAACCTAGGAGAAGTAAAAGAACACGTAAAGAAAGAGATTTTGGTTCAGATTATTATGTATATAATGTAGATGGAGAACCATTGTCTTTTCAAGAAGCTTTAACTTCTTCTAATTCTGATTTTTGGAAAAAAGCTATTAATGATGAAGTGGATTCTTTGATTTCTAATAAAACTTGGAAGTTGGTAGATTTACCTCCTGGTTGTAAAACAATAGGATGTAAATGGGTTTTGAGAAAAAAACTTAAACCGGATGGAACCATAGATAAATATAAAGCAAGACTTGTTGCAAAAGGTTTCAAACAAAAGGAGGAACTAGACCTTTGTGATACTTTTTCACCTGTAACAAGAGTGACTTCCATTAGAGTACTTATAGCTGTAGCCATCATTCATAACATGCTCATCCATCAAATGGATGTTAAAACAGCATTCTTAAATGGAGACTTGCATGAGGAAATTTACATGGATCAACCTGAAGGTTTTGTTATGCTTGGCCAAGAGGACAAGGTATGTAAATTGACTAAATCTCTTTATGGTCTGAAATAAGCTCCAAAACAATGGCATGAGAAATTTGATAGTTGCTTGATTGAAAATGGTTTTAAATCAAGTGAAAGTGATAAATGCATATATTTTGGAATTTTCAATAATTGTTATGTTATTATATGTTTGTATGTTGATGATCTCTTGATTTTTGGTTCAAGCTTAGAGGTGATTAACACTAAAGTCATTGTTAAATAAGCATTTTGACATGAAGGATTTGGGTGAGGCTAATGTAATTCTTAGCATGAAAATAAATAAAAATTATGATGGAATCTTTCTTGATCAATGCCATTATATAAAAAAAATTTTGAAAAAATATAACTATCATAATTCTAGACATGTTATGACGCCTTTCCCAACCCAGTGTGCATTTGTATCCCACTTTACATGATAGAGATATTCTTAATCAATCCAAAGAGAAATGGTAATAGAGAAATTCGGTGTTTTTTTCTATAAATGGGAAAATAATTATTTTTTATTTATTATACTTTTTAATAATTAACTTTAACTTTGATATTATTTAAGAGATTTTTTAATTTATTACTTAAATCTCATTTATTAT